CCAATACTCTAATATATATTAATTTTTTTTATGGTAAACCCGTGGGCTACCCACGACCCTAATGGGTTTACCGATTAAACTCATAACCCTATTAGGGTACCCACCAAAATCCGATTATTTATATGAGTAAAAAAATCTAACCCAAACCCGCTAAATTTATAGGCGAATTTGGGTAACCCGTGGGTATTGACCCATTTTGACAACTATATTGGACGGTTTCCTAACGCCTAGTGCCTAGATAGCCTAATCGGAACCTAGGCGATTTAATAGGCGGTCTAAACGTTTTATAAAAATACATAATATATTAGATATATATAGTAAAATATATAAAAAAATCATGATTATAAATAATAAAATTTATATTGTATTTATATTCATCATTTATAGCAAAATATATAGAATATTATAATTTATATATAAGAAAATTTATATTACTTTATTATTATAATATCATAATATTTTAGACGGTAAAAGCGGTAATCTCCACGGTCTATAGGGGCCTAAGCGCTAGGCGGATACCTAAAACGCTTTTTAGAACATTGGTTTTAGATAGTTCATAATAGATATCCAGACTTTTCGGACCGAATTGAAGCGAATATCGAATCGGACCGAACTTAACGAATAATTTGCCTAGCCCTATAAATAACCATATAGGCTTCAATGCCACAAACCACACACTTCGCACTTAGGAAAATGGAGAAGTCTCTACAAAGTTCCAAACTTGTGTTTCTATTGGCATTTGCTTTGGTCCTGTTTCTTAACACGGAGCTGAGCTTTCTTGCATCTGTAAGAGCCCTAGACAACAATAGTAAGGCATGTAACACAAATAAGTTCCTTTTTAAGTTCTTTCTCTATATGCGAAAATTGCTATGAGTTTACTGATTTTATCTTTCTCGTGGTTCTTTTTTCTTCGTGAATTTAATAGGTATATATAGTGTATCTTGGCGAAAGAGAACACGATGATCCCGAGCTTGTCACAGCTTCTCATCATCAAATACTTGAATCACTTCTTGAAAGGTACTTACTTTACTCATATTACTTTAATCATATCTTTCTAAAAGGCTGAATCTCTATAGAGACTGATACCAATATGGCGACATTGGACATTTACTACTGAGCCACGAAAATCTTGAAGTATACAGTGACTATGTAATCAAAGTTCTCATAGTTAACGAAAAATTCAGAAATATGATTGACTAATTAGATCTTACATTCATTTCTTGTCACTCAAGACACTCCCTGTCGCAATACTCTGTGTCTTCACAAAACTTAGGTCTCCTCCTCTGTTTTTTTTTTCTTTGGTTAGTCATGAGCTCTTCTCTCACCTGTATCTCTCATGTTATATACAGCAAAGAAGACGCACATAACTCAATGATCTATAGCTATCAACATGGATTCTCCGGTTTTGCGGCTCTTCTTACACCTTCACAAGCAAAGGAGATATTGGGTACTCAAGAAAACTCAAACTCACATTTGACAAAATTTTAATACTATTGAGTTTCTAAACCGAAATCTTGTATGTAAACACAGAGCATCCAGCAGTAGTCCACGTTATACCAAACCGGATTCTGAAACTGAAAACCACAAGAACTTGGGATCACCTTGGCCTCTCTCCAATTCCAACTTCTTTTTCTTCATCATCATCTATGAAAGGTCTTCTTCATGACACAAACATGGGCAGTGAAGCAATCATCGGCGTGATGGATTCCGGTCGCTCTCTCTTTATAGTACACACACTCTCTTTCACTCTCTTTGGCTCACATTATGTTTGTATATTCAGGGGTATGGCCAGAGTCAAAGGTATTCGACGATCAAGGCCTTGGACCAATACCTAAGCGTTGGAGAGGAAAATGTGAATCAGGAAAACATTTTAACCCCAAAATATATTGCAACAAGAAGCTAATAGGAGCTAAGTACTACCTAAAAGGCATGTTAGCCGATATGGGAGGAAAATTGAACAAAACAGCATTCCGCGATTTCAAATCCAACAGAGATATAGTCGGTCATGGCACGCATACAGCCACAATAGCAGGTGGCTCATTTGTCCCCAACGCGAGCTTCTATGGTCTAGCCCGAGGTACTGATATATAAACCACGAAAGTTAGCTTGAGAGTGAAGGTACTGGTTTTTGTAAGAAATGAGTTTATTTCCTTCCTAACCAATGTGTGATTCTTTTCAGGAACTGTCCGAGGTGGTGCTCCTCGGGCCCGTATAGCCTCCTACAAGGTGTGTTGGAACCTAATACCACACGGAGGATGCGCATCTGCTGATATGTGGAAGGCTTTTGATGATGCTATACATGACGGGGTTGATGTTTTGTCTGTCTCTATTGGCGGGGAAGTTCCCGAGGATTCCGAAGTCGATAAGATCGAGTTTTCCGCGGCGTTCCACGCGGTGGCTAAAGGGATTCCGGTTGTGGCTGCAGCTGGTAACGAAGGGCCTGGTGCTCAGACTGTTGCCAATGTTGCTCCTTGGCTCTTGACCGTTGCTGCAACTACTCTTGACCGGTCTTTTCCTACAAAGATCACACTTGGCAATAAACAAACCCTCTTTGTATGTTAAGAAAATAGTTCAAAGTTTCCATCTTTATTACCAAAAACTGAAATTAGTTCAAAGTTTGGAGCTTTTCTAACTTCTTGATCTTTGTTGGTGTGTTTCAGGCTGAATCTCTGTTCACTGGACCGGAGATTTCAACCGGTTTAGCTTACTTGGATTCAAACAGTGATGATAATGTTGATGTGAAGGGGAAAACAGTTCTTGTATTCGGTAGTGAGACTTCAATTGCAGAGAAAGGTGTAGCAGGAGTCATATTTGCGCAAAAGCCCGATGATATTCTTGCTCGATGCAATAATATACCGTGCATTTTCACGGACTACGAGCTTGGAACCGACATTTTACAATACATACGTACCACCAGGTCCTCTATCTTGAAGCAAATAAACTCTGTTTACTCAGTCACTTTTTCGTTTACCACATTCATCATTGAACCACAGATCGCCCAAGGTGAGAATCAGCGCCGCTACGACATTAACGGGTCAACCTGCAACGACTAAGGTTGCTGGCTTCTCATGTAGAGGGCCTAACTCGGTTTCACCAGCCATTCTCAAGGTTATAAAACCAATGTGTCTCTAATCTATGTTTACTTCAAAACTTGAAAACTTTTTATGAGTACATAATTGGTGAGTTTTGTTACTCTCTAGCCTGATATAGCAGCTCCGGGTGTGAGCATACTAGCGGCACTAAGTCCGCTTGACCCAGAGGCACACGACGGATTTGGACTCGATACAGGGACATCAATGGCAACTCCTGTTGTTTCCGGAATCATAGCTCTCCTCAAGTCTCTACACCCTCATTGGTCTCCTGCTGCAATTAGATCAGCTTTGGTCACAACAGGTTCTTGTTCATCCCCATCTTCTTCTTTATTCGCCAATCGTTTTTCGACTAATCGATTTCTTTTTGAAGCTTGGAGAACAAGTCCATCTGGAGAACCCATTTTTGCTCAAGGATCAGACAAGAAGCTTGCAGATCCATTTGACTATGGAGGAGGACTTGTAAACCCTGAGAAAGCTGCAAAGCCCGGACTTGTCTACGATATGGGGATCAAAGATTACATCAACTACATGTGTTCCGCGGGTTACAACGACTCCTCAATCTCCCGTGTACTCGGTAAAAAGACGAAATGCCAAACTCCTAAGCCATCAATTCTTGATATCAACTTACCTTCAATCACTATTCCAAATCTTGAGAATGAAGTCACACTCACAAGAACTGTAACCAACGTTGGACCCATCAAATCAGTCTATAGAGCCGTGATCGAACCTCCTCTCGGTATAACTCTCACCGTGAACCCGACCACACTCGTGTTTAACTCTGCTGCTAAGAGAGTACTCACTTTCTCGGTTAAGGCTAAAACGAGTCATAAAGTCAACAATGGTTACTTCTTTGGTAGTTTAACATGGACTGATGGTGTTCATGATGTTAAAATCCCTGTCTCTGTTAAGACAAAGATCATGATCAAGTCTTTACAATGAAAACATCAATGTTATCTGAAATGTAAACGATTTCGATCGAATCAATGTATCAATAAGAGCCATATGATGCTCATGATCTTTCTTCGTATGTAATTTCTTGCAAATAACTAAAAACTTAGAAATCTCTCAAACACACAAATTGAGAAAGTTTCCTCATTTATTCATCACACTCATATATTATCTTTATTGAAATAATTGAGTTCCTAGGATCATATATATCTTTAGGTTTAGAGTTACTATCAACATATTTATTATCTGTAACTAATTTCAGTCAGTGATGGTCTAACAACTACCTAGCTAACTGAATTATTTAGATATGATTGATATCCTCTTATAGTCAATTGAGAACATTTAGGTATACAAACCAAATATGTTTCTAATAAGAAAGACAACAATTTTAAGAAAAAAGATAGACCCTTTACGAAAAGTGAATATATAAGCAGAGCAAAAGGTCGCATAGAAGAGATAAAACTGGTCTGACTCGAAATTACCCTGTCCGGTTTAACTCTAAATTTTCATCAAACCAGCCAAAAAAATGAATACAATTTCGGTTCAAAGTGAGTTTCTTTGGTCTCATTAATGATAAAACCTTATCGAATCAAAGTGAGTTTGTTTTGAGTTTTGACGTTTACTTAAACCGAACCTAACCAATCCTGAACCGTGAATTGAAAGACCAATGATTTACTATTGTATATAAATAACCATAGAGGCTTCTATGCCACTCACACTTCTCACTTAAGAAAATGGAGAAGTCTTTACAAAGTTCCAAACTTGTGTTTCTATTGGCATTTGCTTTGGTCATGTTTCTTAACAATGAGCTGAGCTTTCTTGAATCTGCAAGAGCCCTGGACAATAATAGCAAGGCAAGCAACTCAAAGAACTTCTTTCCCTATCTACGAAAACCGCTACGAATTTACTGATTTTAAAATTTCTTGTGTTCTGTTTTGTTTTCGCGGATTTAATAGGTCTATATAGTGTATCTTGGCGAAAGAGAACACAATGATCCAGAACTTGTCACAGCTTCTCATCATGAAATGCTTGAATCACTTCTTGAAAGGTACTTTAAATCATCTTTCAGAGAAGCCAAATCTCTATGAACATTTACTATATTGAGCCGCGGAA